TGATGAAAATAACCATGAAATAGCATCATAGGTAGTAATATTTGCAGGGGATCTAGCTGCTTGTATGTAGCCTGTTAAATTATGTATTTTTCTAAATAATACTTATGATTCTATAAAAAATGGAGTGATTTTCAATTGAGTGTTGAAACACCAAAACCAAAGTAATCACTGGCCAATCACAGGTAATATGCCCAGACAATCAAGTGAACTAGTCAAAGCTCAAAACAGTTACATATATAGCCATCACAAATCATGGGAAAAACTTTGCGGGCAAGCCAGGGAAAAAAAGAGGGAAAGAGATTAAATTCAACCAATCAAGTGCAGTAGTAACATAAATAAACCAAAGCAACTGTGAATCACTTTCAGCACTCAAGTGAAAAATGCTAATTATACAGTAATTATCAATGGTAATCTCGACTATTGAGACTCAGCCAGTGGATCTTGGAACACCAGTCTTAATTTTGTTCAGGTATTTGATTCTCCTTAACAATATCATGGGGGATGAATTACTCCTTAATTTTGGTGCAAAATGTCAGCATTAATTCATAGTTTCACTTGTGAAGTTGTAAAATTGCCACGATAATGTTTGGCATGAAATTTCTTGATACAATAAACTAGTCAAAAACCCCATGGTTGCAAGTGTAATTTGTCACCCATGATATTAAACGGTAATCAAATGGTGCACCAGTAATCGTAAAATTAAGAAAGAATTTCAATTGCATTTTGCCGAAATTCTAATTATTCTTAGAACTCTGACAAAACGTGCATGAAATTGTTTCCTTATTTCACCCATCACCATTTGATTACCCATAGTAATAACAATTTGTTGAGGTTATGGTTCAATATAATCTATTGAACTTAATGAATTTTGGGGGGAAAAGATCCTAAGTTGGATCTGTTTGATCACTTTGTCAGGACATTTTGGATGATGTAGCTCCACCTTTTGTCCAACATGACTCAGCAATTGAAACACTATGTAAAGTAGACCAACATGTTTCAGTTAACAGATCATCTCTTTTGCTGCAACCCACAATTTTGGATCAAAATGTTGAAAGCACTTTACCTTTACCCCAGAAAAGGCCTCATGAATCCAAATTTGCATAATTATGGTCTTTTTTCCGTATCTAAGCATAATAATTATACTCAATTCTCAACCTCAGGTCAGCATGAGGAATCCTTCTCTGAACAAATGGGCCTGATTTTTTTTAACTAGTGTACATTCTAGATTATTAAACCTTTGAATACCAACTACGCATATACATGTATGCATAATTAATGGTCGTGCTCTTTGTACCACTTGTGACGTCATCAATTTAAATGTCATCAGATATTCTTGATAAGCAGATAGTAGTGCTAGGCTAGCCCTTTCCGCACCATGGTCAGGTTTAGATATCGACGACATTCTGTCGCAAATCGAAAAATGTTATCAGTTTTGGTGCAAAAAACGGTAGTAAAATGGTCCACAACGCCTATGATTAATCAAGGTCCATTTCTAGGCTTTGCCCGTAATTAACATCCAACTTTTCACTGCAGCCAGAAAGAACATACAATGCAAAAGGTAGCCAGTGTACATGTAAAAGGGCCAACAAATGAAATTGAGAATGGTTAATGGCCAAAAAAAAAAAAAAAAGTCCAAATTTTGGCTTATGCGCATGCCCAGACTTGAAGTTTTGCTCAATTTTGTACCTAATCCTCGAAAAATCTCCCCTTTTGGTAAAAAAAAGCTTTTTTAGCAAAACTTAGGCTTAGTTAGTGTCATGGCAGCTACAAAAACCTGACTAAATCGTTGAAAACGGTATTTTTTGGCGAAAGTTTGGTATTCAAAGGGTTAAAATGGAATCATTCACATGTACTTCTTACATTATTGTGAATTTTCTGGAACATTTTTGAGGCAAGCACAACAACTAATGCATGATTCAGAAAAATATAAAAAAATTAATAAACTAGTATAATTTTTCTTCATATACTTGCATGCATGGCAAAGCATGCAACAAAAAATAATTTGTGGGTATTAACAGCAAAACAGCCCCCAAAATACCTTATACACCAATCAAAGTGTTTGCCTGCTTGTAGAGGAGCAAAAGATATCAGGTATATCTTTCAAACAGTCCAACATTAATATGAATACATCTTTAAAATGCATCTTGTTTTGTACATACATATAGGAATTAAATAATTCATGCCTGATGTAGAATTTGTTTTTATATCAGGAAAATTATAGAACATTAAATTTTGAAATAGGAAATCTAATGGAAGTAGAGAACAAGTTTATACAAGAATGAAGTGCATTAATTTAATGTAATAATCAGATTTGTGACCCTGGTCATGACACTCTTCCTTCATTTTTGTGCATAATTTGTTTTTATTTGGACTTTCATTCTGATTTTACTTATTCTTCCATCTCTTGGACCTCCTCTCGTGATATTGTGTTTCACTTGATAACATTATTCTTCCTGCTGTAAATGCATAATAAATACTTCTTGGGATTAAATTCATTAAACCCAGGTGAATGGCATCAGCAAAATCAATTGAGGGAATTCTACCTTTCCTAATCCTTCAGTAGCATCCAATTACTAGGCAGTCATTTTATGCACCTCGCCAACCATTTAAACAGTGCAAGCCCACTACAAGAAACCCCTACAAATATTCTGCCAACAATGAATTTTATGCCAGGTGGTGCAACCCGACCTAGCATGGTGAAAACATTTCCCCAGTCCTTTGGCACTTTCAATTCAGTGACAATTAACCAATCAGAGCGCACGTTATATCGGCCACAAGCCAAAGCCATATAATAAAAAAAATTAATAAATCAGTATAATTTTTCTTAATATACTTACATGCATGGCAAAGCATGCGACAAAAAATGTGGGTATTAACAGCAAAACAGCCCCCAAAATACCTTATACACCCATAAAAGTGTTTGCCTGCTTGTAGAAGAGGAAAAGATATTGGGTATATCTTTCAAACAGTCCCACATTAATATGAATACATTTTGAATCTTGTTTTGTACATACATACAGGAATTAAATAATTCATGCCTGATATAGAATTTTTTTTTTGTATCAGGAAGATCATAAAAGATTGTAAATAGGATATCCAATGGAAGTTGAGAACAAGTTTGTGAGAGAATAAAGTGCATTAATTTATGTAATAATCAGATCTGTGGCCCTCATTATTGTAAAATAAATTTGGCTTGTCGTGGCACTCTTCCTTCATTTCTGTGCATAATTTGTGTTTTTATTTGGACTTTCATTCTGATTTTACTTATTCTTCCATTTCTCGGACCTCCTCTCGTGCTATTGTGTTTCACTTGATAACGTTATTCTTCCTGCTGTAAATACATAATAAGTATTTCTTGGGATTAAATTCATTAAACCCAGGTGAATGGCATCAGCAAAATCAATTGGGGGCGTTGTACCTTTCCTAATCCTTCAGTAGCATCCAATTACTAGGCAGTCATTTTACGCACCTCGCCAACCATTTAAACAGTGCAAACCCATTACAAGAAACCCCTACAAATATTCTGTCAACGATGAATTTTATGCCAGGTGGTGCAACCCGACCTAGCATGGTGAAAACATTTCCCCAGTCCTTTGGCACTTNAACAGTGCAAACCCATTACAAGAAACCCCTACAAATATTCTGTCAACGATGAATTTTATGCCAGGTGGTGCAACCCGACCTAGCATGGTGAAAACATTTCCCCAGTCCTTTGGCACTTCAGTATACATCAGGGTTTGTTTATAGTTGCGTGGCATGGCGGATCTAGCAGAGCAACCTTTCGGCTGGGCTCCTAACTTCTGATCTAAGAGGCTGAAATGGCTTCTTGAAAAATTCCTTGGGCAGCAGCTCTGAAGGGCATCCATTGGAAGGAAAAGAAGAGCAAAACCAAAACAAATTACAAATCTAATTTTATTGTTTTATCATATTCATTTGGCTACTATTACAACAATCACAATATTAACAACTAACAAAATTACTTTCTGACAAAGAATATCTGACATTGCACAAAATCAGATTTCAATGAAAAGAATCGTTAACTCTGTACAATGGGTGTTGATTTCACTTCACTGATTAACCATCAACCAATAATTTGATACTAATCATGCGACAGCTTAAATATGAGTCAGAGCCAGACAGTTTAATTTAAAATACCATTAAGTACTTCCTGGAGATTTTAAATACGTAGAGCCAACTACTTTGATTTTCATGTCCAAATGAATGCAGGGTTTTCTTGTGAGTTCATGATCTGAATGAACTGAAAAGATAAATAAGTACAGAGAAATATCACATAAATTTCTTCAATATTCTGCCTCTAAAACCTGCTTTGTCTCAAGAAGTCAAGCCAGAAATCGGATGCTCATTTTTGCATTCATGTCCACATTTTCCAGGACCTAGATGGAGAAAAAACATTGATCATCAACAATGATAAAGTCAGGTACTTGTCAACAACCTGCAATCCACCTTAAGTTCAAACATTAACAATAATAATGAATGTTATGTTGTCTTTTTAAGTATGATTGCCCAGATGAGGGTAGTTATACTCTATATAGATAACAACAAACACTAAGTCTATTTTTATTTCAACATTTTCATCACTGCCCAACAGCATTTTTCAGGAAAATAAATTTCTTAATAAGTTAACAAAGAAAAAGGGACTTATTAACCGCGATATGTATAGGATAGTTGCAGTTCAACTAAAATCAACAGAATAAATAAACCATTGATGTTTCTGTAAAGTTAACAACATACATGATATTCAATAAATTTGATGCCACATCAAAATGCATCCTCTTTATTGTTACAGGCTACAGAAATTCGCGGGAGTTGAAGCGAAGATCCTGCTGGGCCATCAAGGGTTGGAAAAAAAATTGTTAAAGGATCTCAGTCACAGTACTTTGAGTTATTTTGACCACATATAAAATTACTTTTGAATAGAGGAAACATGAAAATAATAGTTTACTAGGTTAGAAAAACACCAAAGAGATAATAATAAACCATAAAGGAACAAGGATGGTTAAGGATGGAGAAGATTGACACAGATCACAAATGACAAACTTTAAAAATTTAGGCTAAACTTTCAAGATGCACAAACTGACAGTGATGTAGTTCCTTCAAGTTACTAGCATAAGGAAACACTCACCCTCTTAAGTTCATCAAATGAGATGACACCATCTCTATCTGTATCAGCATCATTTATTGCACGGTCAGCAATCCCGCCAAGCTGTTCATCACTGATATTCCGACCAACCATCATGTGAAGGACCTTAACAATAACAGTTAATTAAAATAATGACAACCATGATAGAATGCTCATAGGATACTAATTAATTTAGAAACTAATCTCTCAGGTGGTATTAAAGATAAATACCATGTGTTCATGCATTTATAAATCTATGTAAATGTATGTACAAATAATTGACTTATACACTTGCAACACACAATCCTTTTAACATTTCACAATTTTCGTTTTGGACTGTTTGTTTAGAAGGGAAAAGTCACGAATAGTAGATTTGAAATGAATCATCAATAATGTGGCAACGTCCTAAAGCAAGTTACCAGTAAAAAACATAAGATGGACACTAAATTTGGTTGTCACCTGCCCACACGTTACATACCTGCATGAGGTCATCTTTGGATATTTTCCCATCATTGTCCAGATCATAGATTTTAAAGGTGACTGAGTAAAGAGTGAAAAAGAATGTCAAACAAAATGGGTGGAATTATATGGCATGATTGTATACAAGTCATGTACATACACTCTAGNGGAATACTTGCAGTTCAATTAAAATCAACAGAATAAATAAACCCCTGCCGTTTCTGTAAAGTTAACAACATACATGATGTTCAACAAATTTGATGCAACATCAAAATGCATCCCCTTTATTGTTACAGGCTACAAATATTCGCTGGAGTTGAAGTGAAGATCCTTCTGGGCCATCAAGAGTTAGAAAAATATTTCTCAGTTGCAGTTCTTTGAGTTACTTTGACCACATATAAAATTACTTTTGAATAAAGGAAACATGAAAATAATAGTTTACTAAGAAAGAAAAACACCAAAGAGAGAAGGATAAACCATAAAGGAACAAGGATGGTTAAGGATGGAGAAGATTGACATGGATTACAAATGACAAACTTCAAAAAATTAATTTAGGCTAAACTTTCCAAGATGTGCAAACTGTGATGTAGTTCCTTTAAGTTATTAGGAAACACTCACCCTCTTAAGTTCATCAAATGAGATAACACCATCTCTATCTGTATCCGCGTCATTTATTGCACGGTCAGCAATCCCTCCAAGTTGTTCATCACTGATATTCCGACCAACCATCATGTGAAGGACCTTAACAATAACAGTTAATTAAAATAATGACAACCATGATAGAATGCTTTGGAGGGTGCATCATAGTACACTAATTAATTTAGAAACTAATCTCTCAAGTGGCATTAAAGATAAATACCATGTGTTCATGCATTTATAAATCTAAACATGCACATGTATGTACAAATGATTGACTCATACGCTTTCAACACACAATCCTTTTAACATTTCACAATTATTGTTTTGGACTGTTTATCTAGAAGGGAAAAGTCACAAATAGTAGATTTGAAATGAATCACCAATAACGTGGCAACGTCCTAAAGTAAGTTACCAGTAAAAAACATAAGATGGACACTAAATTTGGTTGTCACCTGCCCACACATTACATACCTGCATGAGGTCATCTTTGGATATTTTCCCATCATTGTCCAGATCATAGATTTTAAAGGTGACTGAGTAAAGAGTGAAAAAGAATGTCAAACAAAATGGGTGGAATTATATGGCATGATTGTATACAAGTCATGTACATACACTCTAGACAAATTACAAAGTGATGAAAAAGTTCAATGCACTAATCCGAAGAAACCTGAAAAAATAACTCGAGGGCTTTTTGAGAGGCTTTGAGCCCATTTGTCCCCTCTACTAAATAAAAGTGACAATCCCACTGTGTGCTGGAAAATGTGATGAACCTCTGGAGACGATGCACCCATGTGATACACCTGTCCCTAATAAGCCTGACCACACCTGTTATCCTA